TTTGGGAGAGATTTTAAAAGATTTAAATAAGATTTTTTTATTTTAATGAGCTAAAAGAAATAAAATCCTAATCAAAAAGATAAAATTAAGCCCTATCAATTAAATTATATTTTTTTGTTTTGAAAATATAATCTTAAAAGGATTAAATTTATATTTTGCATTTTTATATTTTTTTTTTGGTTACTTATTTTTATTTTTGTTAAATTTAGAAAATGCCTGGACAAAATACGGTGTTCACAGTTGCCCCTCTTTACTTGTTTCTTATGTAAGTATCTGAAAAAGTGTGTTTTTGAATTCTTACATAAGTGACAAGTAAAGATAGAACATGTATTTTGGTTGGCCATACAATACCTATGAAAAGACCTAATTGCCCTTGACACGAAAAAATATGATTAAATGCAAGACTATTGGATAACAAATACAGTAAAATAATTTTTTTGATGTTTTTTTTTACCGATGTGACACAAATCAAAATGACCAAATGATGTAAGGCTATTGGATAACAAACATGATAATAATTTTTTTTGGTTTTAGCAATGTGATGTGAATGAAAATGACTAAATGACAACGATCCAAACAAAATATATATTGACTAGATGCCCCCTCTTCATTTAATTTTTAAGTGAGAATTTCATGAGATGATATTCTTTTCTTAGAAATGAATGAAGAGAGAAACATGTATTTTGTTTGGGGGGCAAGGCTCTTAGGAACCTACAACTAAACAAACAAAACAAAACAAAACAAAACAAAGAGTTTAAAATGAAATGTGATTTAGGAACTAAACAAAACAAAACCTCAATGGAGATGAATTGCTTATGTTCCAAAGGACCTGGTGGATGCTTGCCTTTACAAGGTTTAGAGGATGCCTGCCGTGACAGGGCTGTAAAGAATTGTGCCAGCTGGTACTGGGCTTTGGGGTGCCGGCCGTAACAGGGCTTTAGGGGTGCCTGCTGTTACAGGGCTTTAAAGAATTGTGCCAACCGGTACTAGCCTTTTGGGTTGCCTGCCGTGACAGGGCTTTGGGGTACCTGCCGTGACAGGACTTTAAAGAATTATGCCAGCCGGTACTGGGCTTTTGGGTTGCCTGCTGTGACAGGGCTTTGGGGTACCTGCCATTACAGGGCTTTAAAGAATCGTGCCAGCCAGTACTGGGCTTTGGGGTGCTTGCCGTGACAGGGCTTTAGGGGTGCCTGCCGTTACAGGGCTTTAAAGAATCATGCCAGCCGGTACTGGGCTTTGGGGTGCCTGCCGTTACAGGGCTTTAAAGAATTATGCCAGCCGGTACTGGGCTTTTTGGGGTTGCCTGCCGTGATAGGGCTTTGGGGTGCCTGCCGTTACAGGGCTTTTAAAGAATCATGCCAGCCAGTACTGGCTTTGGAGTGCCTGCCGTAACAGGGCTTTAGGGGTGCCTGCCATTACAGGGCTTTTAAAGAATCATGCCAGCCGGTACTGGGCTTTGGGGTGCCTGCCATAACAAGGCTTTAGGGGTGCCTACCGTTACAGGGCTTTTAAGGAATCATGCTAGCCAGTACTGGGCTTTGGGGTGCCTGTTGTTACAGGGCTTTTAAAGAATCATGCCAGCCGGTACTGGGCTTTGGGGTGCCTGCCGTTACATGGCTTTAAAGAATTATGCCAGCCGGTACTGGGCTTTTGGGGTTGCCTGCCATGACAGGGCTTTACGGTGCCTGCCGTTACAGGGCTTTTAAAGAATCATGCCAGCCGGTACTGGGCTTTGGAGTGCCTGGCATAACAGGGCTTTAGGGGTGCCTGCCGTTACAGGGCTTTTAAAGAATCATGCCAGCCGGTACTGGGCTTTGGGATGCCTGCCGTGACAGGGTTTTGGGGTGCCTGCTGTTGCAGGGCTTTTAAAAAATCATGCTAGCCGGTACTGGGCTTTGGAGTGCCTGTCGTAACAGGGCTTTAGGGGTGCCTGCCGTTACAGGGCTTTTAAAGAATCATGCCAGCCGGTACTGGGCTTTGGGGTGCCTGCCGTTACAGGGCTTTTAAGGAATCATGCCAGCCTGTACTGGGCTTTGGGGTGCCTGCCGTGATAGAGCTTTAGGGGTGCTTGCCGTTACAGGGCTTTTAAAGAATCATGCCAGCCGGTACTGGGCTTTGGGGTGCCTGTCGTTACAGGGCTTTAAAGAATTATGCCAGCCGGTACTGGGCTTTTGGGGTTGCCTGCCGTGACAGGGCTTTGGGGTGCCTGCCGTTACAGGGCTTTTAAAGAATCATGCCAGCCGGTACTGGGCTTTGGAGTGCCTGCCGTGACAGGGCTTTGGGGTGCCTGCCGTTCCAGGGCTTTAAAGAATCATGCCAGCCGGTAATGGGCTTTAGGGTGCCTGTCGTTACAAGGCTTTGGGTTGCCTGCCATTACAGGGCTTTAAAGAATCATGCCAGCCGATACTGGGCTTTAGGGTGCCTGCCGTTACAAGGCTTTGGGTTGCCTGCCGTGACAGGGCTTTAGGGGGTGAGAATAGGTTTTATTTCACGTGGAAGATATGAGAAACTCACAGGTGAGGTTCATTATTTCTTCTCTTACTTCCTAAATTTTTTTTTGTGTTGTTGTTGTTGTTTGTTTTTGTTTTCTTTTTATATGTCGTTTTGCCCCAATCTAAATACGGCGTGTTTCTGCAATGTGGTAATGCGCTGTGTATGATTTTCATAAGTGCTGAGAATATGTACAATATACCATGGATGAATGATTTACAATGTAAAAGGTTTGAACCTTTGTTTGCCTCAATTTATGAGACTTCCTTTTGTGACAAATGCAAAGGGTAAGACGCGCTTATTTGCCCCAATGCAAATGTATGAATAATGCAAATGTATTGCAAAAATTTTATTGGAAAGCTTAATGTTGAAAACTATCTTAGTATTTATCCTTTTTTTTTGAAAATTTTGTGCACATTGAATAAATCATTTCGAACATAAGGTAATACCTCCAAGTCCGTTATTTAACCTTTATTCATTAATAGGTGTAGCATCACAATATGCCGTTGCCCCTCTTTAGAAAATTCCAATGACCAAATTCTCGTCACTTGATCTTGTCTTCAAGTTAATGAGATCAACTATTATGATTGAACACTGATAGTAGACATGCTCTCATTATCATTTTACACCTACACAATGATCTTGATACCTCAAGGGCGAAAGGCGAGAATAAAGATACCAGCATTCTACGTCAAGTAAATGCGTCAATAAATATTGTTCCTTGAATGCGAACCTGCTGTAATATAGGGGATATGAATTGGAATATGATAACACGAAACGAGAAGAAAGATGGTCTCAAAGGAGCAAGGGTAGAAAAAATGCATTCATTGATGCTAAAATTCATAGAGAAATAGGAATATCTTGGTTTATGAGTACAAATGGCCAAAGCGTAAATGGGATATATGGATTTACTTAATCACATCTCTTTCCTTTAGCTTTTCAAAACCCCAACAAGTGTTTCACTGAGCTGCTATTGATATGCATAATATGAGAGACAATGGAGTCAACTTTCCCAAACATAGATACTTAACTTTTGATGCCTTCCTTTTCTTCTCCTAAGACATCCTTTTGTCTTGGCAAACTCTTCTTCTTCTTATCATGGCTTTGCCCCCCTTTTTTTTAGCTCTAACTTTTGCTTAGGTTACCTTTACAGGTTTTTTAACCTAACGAGCTATTCTTTCCTTTTCATTTTCTATTAGCTCTAACTTTTCCCTAGGTTGCCTTTACAGGTTTTCAACCTAACGAGCGCTTCATTCTTTTTCATTTTCTGTTTAAGCAAAGTAACACTTGATAGCATCTGCATTAATGGGCTTTGCTAACTCTTGACCGTCCATGTCAGCTAGGATCAGTGCTCCTCCAGAAAAGGCATGTTTGATAACATAAGGTCCCTCATAGGTCGGAGCCCATTTGCCTCTATTATCTTCTTGGTTAGGCAATATTTTCTTGAGTACAAGATCCCCAGCACTGAATTCCCGTGGGCGAAGTTTTTTATCAAAAGCTCTTGCCATTCTCTTTTGGTACAATTGTCCATGACACATTACAATGAGCCTTTTCTCTTCAATCATGTTAAGTTGCTCAAATCGGGTTCGTACCCATTCATTTTCTTCTAAATCTACCTCTGCCAATACTCTTAAAGATGGTATTTCCATCTCAATGGGTGTAACAGCTTCTATTCCATAAACAAGGGAGTATGGGGTTACCCCTATGGATGTGCGTGCAGTAGTACGATAACCATGTAAAGCATAGGGAAGCATCTCATGCCAATCCTTATAAGTTACTGTCATTTTTCCAATGATCTTCTTAATATTTTTATTGGCTGCTTCAACTACTCCATTCATTTGAGGTCTATATGGGGCTGAATTATGATGCTTGATTTGGAACTTCTCGCAAAAGTTCCTGACTTCCGTTCCATTGAGATTGGGACCATTATCAGTAATGATCCTTTCAGGAATCCCATATCGGCATAAAATATTTGTCTTCATGAATTTAAGGAACGTCTTTTGTGTGATGCTAGCAAATGAATTTGCTTCTACCCATTTTGTGAAATAGTCAATCACGACAAGAATGAAGTGATGTCCATTCGAAGCTTTTGCGTTAATTGGGCCAATAATGTCAATGCCCCACATTGAGAATGGCCAGGGTGATACCAAATTATGTAATGGGATTGGAGGAGCATTTATCCTATTAGCATAGATCTGACATTTATGGCATTTCTTGACATGCTCAAAGCAATCTTTCTCTATTGTTAGCCAGAAGTAGCCATACCTTTGAATCTGTTTGGCCATAGTATGACCATTCGCATGCATGCCACATATGCCCTCGTGTACCTCAACCATGATTTTCTTTGCTTCTTCTAAACTCACACAGCGAAGTAAAGTACCATCATAACCCCTCTTGTACAGAACATCTTGACTGATAAAGAATGTTATAGCCAAACGACGAAGGGTTTTCTTTTCATTCTCAGTCATTCCATTTGGGTATGATCTCTTAGTGATATAATCCTTAATATCCTAGAACCAAGGATATTCTTCTCGATCTTCTTCAACATTCAGACAGTACGCTGGAAAGCTTCTAGCTTCCACTTGGATGGGTTGGACATGGACTCCACAATCAAGTTGGATCATTGCCGCTAAAGTAGCTAAAGCATCAGTGAAACAGTTTTTATCTCGAGTCAAGTGATGAAAGCTAACAACCTTAAATTGCTTAATCAAATCTACTAGGAGTTCTTGATAGGGAATCAATTTTACATCCCTTGTTCTCCATTCTCCTGTTACTTGATGAATAATGAGAGCTGAATCACTAAATACCTTCAAACACCTTATACCAAGGGTAATAGCTGCCCGAAGACCATTAACACAAGCTTCATATTCTGTTATGTTGTTAGTACAATCAAATTCCAATTTGATGGCCACAGGAAATTGTTTTCCTTCTGGTGAAACGATCACCACTCCTACCCCATTTCCATGCATGTTGGCGGCTCCATCAAAATACATTTCCCATTCTTGCTCTTCATTATTTCCTTCATCACAACTTTCTTCTGTAGTGCATATGCCTTTATCAGGAAATTGAAAATCTAATGGCTAGTCATCCTCTAAAGGATTATCGGCCAAGTGATTTGCTATTGCACTACCTTTGACTGACTTTTGCATCACATGCTTTATATCATATTCCGACAGTACAACTTGCCATTTTAGTACTCTACCTACAATGTGCGGGCTCTCAAAGATGTACTTAAGTGGGTCCACTCGTGAGATTAGCCAGGTAGTGTAGTAAAGCATGTATTGCCTTAGCCTTCTAGTTACCCATACTAGTCCACAACAAGTTCGCTCAATCACCAGATAACGAGCTTCACACTCGTTAAACTTCTTGCTCAAGAAATAAATTGCTCTTTCCTTCTTTCCAGAATCATCACGTTGACCTAGCATTGCTCCCATTGAGCGAGGTAAAGTTACTAGGTAAAGGATTAGTGGATGATCTGGTGATGGAGGGACCAAAATCGGGGGATTTAACAAATAATCTTTAATTTTATCAAAGGTCTTTTGACAATCATCATCCCATGTCTCCTTGCAATTTTTCTTTAACAGCTTAAACATCGGTTCGCAAGTAGCTATTAGATTGGCAATGAATCTAGCAATGTAATTCAATCATCCCAAGAAACTTCTAACTTCTTTCTCTGTTTGGGGAGATGGCATTTCTTGAATTGCCCTCACTTTATCTGGATCTACTTCTATCCCTTTACGACTCACAATGAATCACAATAACTTCCCAGAAAGAGCTCCAAAAATGCATTTGTTAGGATTCAATCTTAGCCGATATTCACGCAATCTCACAAATAACTTTCTAAGGACTCCAACATGACTCTCATTCTCTGCTGATTTAGCTACCATATCATCTACATATACTTCAATTTCTTTATGCATCATGTCATGGAATAGTGCTAACATAGCTCGTTGATAAGTTGCCTCAGCATTTTTCAAACCAAAAGGCATTACCCGGTAACAATAAGTTCCCCATTGGGTTGTAAAGGTTGTTTTCTCTTTATCCCTTTCATGCATAGGGATTTGATTGTACCCTGAATAACCATCCCTAAAGGAATAGCGATAGCTTCGAGCAGTATTATCGACCAATACATTAATGTGGGGTAATAGAAAGTCATCTTTCGGACTCACATTATTTAAATTATGATAATCAACATACATTCGAATCTAACCATCTTTTTTAGGAACAGGGACAATATTTGCCACCCATTGTGGGTAAGTTACTACCTCCAAAAATCCTGCTTCTAACTGCTTTATTACTTCTTCTTTTATTTGCAAGGACACCCCCGTATTCATTCTTCTTAACTTCTGTTTCTTAGGCTCAACCTTAGGAAGTAATGGTATTTTATGAGAAGCAATGCTTGGATCTAGCCCAGGCATATCTTTATAAGACCATGCAAACACATCTATGTATTCTTTGAACAACTCAATCATTTGTTCCCTTTCAGGATTATCTACTATTTTGAGCATTCTTTGATCCTCCTCGGTTCCCATATTAACCACCTCAATCACTTCTTCATGTGAGCATATTCTCTTATCACTCAATTCAAGCATCTTAGAAAAAGTTTGGATTACGTCTTCATCATCAGACTCACAATCAGGCATATCAGTGGCAACGAGTGAATCATCTTCAAAGGGCTTATTAACCTCTGGGTGAGAGATGGAATCAGAAGAAACAAAATCCCTAGACGATAAATATGAAATGAGATAAAAATAAGGAACATGAATGAAATGGGGAAAAATGTATTGAAGTGGATAGGGCGGATTAAAGAGATAAACATGAATGCAACTGAAATTCATTTTCATAAATTACATGCACCAAAAGTTTGCATTAGAGAATACCCAAGATCTATTACCTAAACCTGGGCTCAAGAGTGGATAACAAAATAGGAACAATATAATTGAAACAATTACTCTAAGCTAATGACATCATTGGCCTCTTCAAACTCCCAATTCGTCAGGACTTTGCTGGAATCATCGATTGCAATTGAGTCACTTGTTTCCACATGCTACATCTTCATTAGAAGAGATCACCGAGATAGTTAGTTCATATATCACCTCGGACGGGCCTAGGAAGGATTCTTTAATGTGTGGAATCTCCAATTTACTGGCCTTTTTGCCTTTTGCCAAACTTGCTTTGTCTTTCATCTGGTCTTCTAGGGTAGGCTTATACCCTAACCCTTGGCGATTACAATTATCTAAAACCTTAATTAGATACATAATTCCTTGTAAATGAGAGCCTAAACCTTTCCTTGGCATAAACCCACTCTTCGTCATGATTTTAGCCACGATGGAATTGATGTTATGAGTACTATCGCAAATACCTTCAACCTCTAGGCTTTGAAAAGAAACTCCATGATCTTTCTCTGCAGCCTCAATATAAGGGAGTGAGCTTGGTTTGTTCACCATGATTTCCTCCTCTCCTTTAACTGCTATAATTCCTCCATCACTGATGAATTTAACCTTCTGATGTAGGGTAGAAGGAACAACCCTAGCAGAATGAATCCATGGCCTTCTTAGCAGCATTGTGTAACTTGGGTCTATGTTCATGAGTTGGAAATCCACCTTAAACCTGCTTGGCCCTATCTCCAGGGAGAGACAAACGAATCCTAATGCTTCTCGTCTTGATCCATCGAATGCTCTTACCACAATATTGCTTTTATGTACACTTGAAGCTTCTAGTGATAATGATTCAAATGTGGAGAGCGGTAAGACATTTAACGCTGATCCTCCATCAATTAATACCCTTGTGATTATAAACCCTTCACATTTCAAAGTGATGTGCAAAGCCTTGGCTTGGTGGATAGTAGTTTCTATAACTTCCTCTTCCGAAAAGGAAATGGTAGAGGAGGCTTTTACAATATTCATTACACTTGCCACCTTCTCAGGGGTTATATTAGGCTGCACAAAAGCTTGATTCAACACTTCTTGTAAAGCTTGGCGATGTGCTTCGGAATTCAAAATCAAAGAAAGTATGGAGATACGCGCTAGAGTTTTCTTCAATTGGTCCACAATGCTGTAATCACTTTGCTTCATAATCGATAAAAACTCATCTTCTAATTTTTCCATTTCTTTAGGATTATCTTCCTTTGGCCTGTCAATACTTGCATTTTTCTCTTTTACCATTTTCCTAATGTAAGATGGTAAGCATGGTTTTCCACTTCGAGTAACACCCCCTTAGTTTTCCATTTCATTGCTTGTCCCGGCAATCAACGTTAGGTTTTTGTGGTTCTCCACAATGCTTTGATATTTCCACGGGACTGCTCGATCACTTTCATAGGGAAAGGGATGAGGTGTGCTTATGGTCAATATTGGTTGTCTTGCGTGAGGAGCAAAATCTACAGAAGCTTTGTTTATCACAAAAGAGACTGCTTGGACTCGCTCTTTTAGGCTTGAATTTTTAATGACAAGCTTAATCTGTTTTTTTTCTACCATGCACACTTTGGCATCTCCCTTCTTTACAGACACGATCCCTAATGCCATCATTTTTCTAATAGCTTCTTTAAACTGTTCACAGCTTTCTACGTCATGGCCTATTTTCTCCTGATGATATTCACAGTATCCAAGCATTTGATAATTGATATTATTTGTGATGAGCATTTCTCGCATGTAGCCATATGATAGAACACATTTGTTACCCACTTTTATTTTTCAATTAGGACCATTTTATTAATGATTTATCACCTTCAAGTGCACACATTGCATTAGATTTGGAACTTTGCCTAAGTTTCTAAGATCAGTGCACTAGGGGCATTTTGGTCCAAAAAATGAACTTTTGAGAAAATGTACAAGAAAAATTGACAAAGTGCATGTTATGTCCAGTTGATGAATGGTGAAATTATATTTTTAAAATTCATTTTAGTTTGGGAGTAATTAAATAAAAAAGTCAACACTTTCTTAAGTGTCTTAGTTTGTCCTAGTTTTTGGTTTGCCTTTGTGTGAAAATTTTTATATAATTTTTTACAGCCTGAAACTTGGTTAATTTAATAGATTCTCCCTTCTAATTATGAATTTAATTCTGGACATGAATTAGATTTTATTATATCATATGCTATTTAATTGAATTATGTGATTTATGTGACATAGGTGGCATGTGACTTGTGCATCAATTGGGCAATTGAGGTCAACACTCCTTGAGGACAATGGCTGATGGTTTGCACGTGAATTATGATTATTTTGAGGGATTAGATCAGCTAAAATGATGTGGATGACACATGGAAAATTAGGCACACATTGGAATCATCTACAAACCAATAGGAAGTTGCCACCTTGCAAGTGTGACAAGGCTCCCATTTACATTTTAATTTCTTTTTCCTTATTTTAATTAAGCTTCAGCTGATGGGAGACACCAAGGAGCACGCCATTTTAAGTCCCAAATGGGATCCAACACATATCTCATTCATCTTCCACATTCTCTCTCTCTTGTTCATAGTGTTCTTCATTTTCTCTCTTTTGTTCTTCATTTTCCAGCACCCTAACCTCCATTTTCAGCCACCAAACCTCCACAAAACTCATACCATTCTTCTCCTCTCTTCATTTTTGTTCCATCCCTTCCATTTTCACAAGGATTGAAGCTCATTTCCATCATTCAAGAGCTATGGAGTTTGGCCTTCACAAGCAATCACTAGGGTTCTTGAAGATGAAGATTGGCTAAGTTTCTTTTGTGGAATCCTAGAGAGATGATGATGGAGGATGAGTCTTGAGCTTCAAATTGGCTAAGTTTTTTTGTTTCCTATCCTCTTCTCTTTTTACTAGATGGTTAGATTCCTTAATCTAGGGTCTAATCATCTTAGCTTATAAATTCTAATTTGAATTTGATGTTGATGTAAAGAGAGAGGATTGTTTCATTTAATTTCTTCCTTGGACAGCCATGACTGAATTTTGCCACTCTTTGTTTGGCACATAATCTTGTGTTTTTCAATTAGTGAATTTCTTATGTTAATATTGCATAATCTTGTGGTGTTAATGCTTGTGTTGTTGAGTAGCTTGACATAATCTTGTGGTGTTAATGCTTGTGTTGTTGAGTAGCTTGACATAATCTTGTGGTTGCTAAATTTATGTGTTTGACCATGGCTGTTGAGAGAGGATTTTGAGTGAATCACTTGGCTAATGTCTTCACCAATTGGTTAATTGAACTAGGGACTTTAATCTAAGACCTAGGGAGGTTAGCTAATTAGGTTAATTGGCTTAGGATAATTTTCTTAAGTCATGACAGCTTTAGTCAAGAGGAAAGGGAAGCTAAACTTAGCCTAATCATGAGAAGATAATGAGTCTAAAATCAACTAATCTCTAGGGTTTCATTATTGTAAAAAGGGAAGTTCATTTACTCACTTTCACTAGCATTTTAATTACTTGCATATTAGGTAATTAGTTTAGATAATTAGCTAGATAACTAA